GTTCATATAGCAGTACTTTAAAATAAAAGTGCACAATACACTACTTTAGAATTCATTATTGAATTTTGCACATAATAATGAGATTAATCGCAAAACAATCATGCAATTAATCGCGATTAAAAATTATAATCATTGCCCAGCACTAGTATATATATAAGTATATATAACTAACCCTCTAACCCAGAAAGTTAGTTACTTGACCTCCTCAGGTTTAGATGGACCCTCAGTGATCAAGTCTGGTTTGAAATTATGAGCTCAGGAACAGTAACTGGACTAACTGGACTAAATAGGTTAACTGGACTAACTGGACTAACTCCCCTTGTGCCCGTGCCCCCTGTGACCGCCACCAGGAGGCCACGTCCCCACCCAAACCTAACCCTGGATTAACTGGACTAACCCTAACCCTGGATTGTTAAAAGGAGAGTAAATATAATCTGGAGCCTTAAATGTAATCAATAAAATGTAAAACAATCTGCTGTATCGTTTGTTTATGGATCTTCTGAAAAACTTCTCAAATGTGACATTTTTCTGCTTTTCTTTTCCATTTATGAGAATAAACAGAATGTCTTTGGCATGGTTTAAAGATGATATATTAATATATAGTAGAAATAAAAGCAGATATTATTCCTCTTGACATATAGATATTCGGTGAATGTTGTTCTGACAGAAGCTAAATAAACAGATAAATATAAATATTTAAATATTAAGACCAGCAGGAAGCTGCTGACTCATCCTTTTAACAAAGATTAAAACTATTTAAATACCAGAATAAAGGACACAGGTACAAATGTACAGTGATGGGCACTGACAATATTATTAGTAATAATTGTAAAATAAATAAAATAATTTAGCAGTTTCTTTATTTACAGATAATCAAACATTATGCGGTAAAAGACAGAGCTCTTCCACCAAATATGATTGATGTCTTATAATAATATTTATTATAAAGTATCAGCTCTCTTTATATTGATTACCGTATTTTCCGCACTATAAGGCGCACTGGATTATAAGGCGCACCTTCAATGAATGGCCTATTTTAGAACTGTTTTTATATATAGGGCGCACCGGATTATAAGGCGCATAGAATAGAAGCTACTACAGTCAAACGTTTGACTGTTCGAGTTTGTCCTCTAACTGTGGCCATCTCGCTTTGTTCCCTCGGAAACTCTTTTTAGTCTTCTTTACTTGGCACAGGTCATCTTCTTGCTTCCTCCACTTCCGTACCATTGATTCATTAATGTTGAATTCTCTCGCAGCTGCTCTATTCCCATGTTCGGCTGCGTAGCTGACAGCCTTGAGTTTGAACTCAGCGTCGTAAGCGTGTCTCTTGAAAGGTGCCATTTTGGGGTCTTTATACACACAAGTGGTGTTGGACTAGGAGTAAGCACAGTACCGGTGTTTACCGCTATTACTTCGGCGACGCCCCTGACTACGGTAGCCGTAATGCTGCAAGCGGTGCGGCTTTGTAGTTTACCAGTCGTACTGAAACATTTTGACAGAGCGCCGTGTACAACCAGTATAGATCAACCAATTAACCAATTGATCCATATATAAGGCGCTCCGGATTACAAGGCGCACTGTCGTTTTTTGAGAAAATTAAAGGCTTTTAAGTGCGCCTTATAGTGCGGAAAATACGGTAGTTTATGTCAGACAGACAGATACAATATCTGCTTCCTGCTCCTCAGAGGATACACCCTTTGTGTTTTTATGACGTTCAAATGTTACGAAATAATGAAATTAAAAAGCAGATGATTGGTTATTAACCCTTTAAACTTGGTGCCCAACGTTATTCAAACCCTCATAACTTTTGGTAAAATCTTGTTTATACCTTGAGCTGCAACAATCTGTTAAAAAAACAAAATATCAACTTATCAAATCCAATTAAAAACATGTTCTGTTGATCTGTAAACGCTCCTGTTTAAAAAACATTTGACTGCAAACTATCCTTGAGGCTTCTTTACAGTAGAAAATATATCATGAAACAATATATTTCATCAGTATTTTAAGCATCATGTTCTCTGTAAACTCTATGACTTTTATTTTGACAATGTTTCCTGTGTTTCAGGGGAAGCCGTACGTGTTCGATAAAGTTCTTCCTCCAAACACCGAACAGATTCAGGTCTACGACACCTGCGCCAGACAGATCGTTAAAGGTCAGTTCACCTGGTTATCAAGCCTTTATATATCTATACCATAATATATGTGTACATGTGTATATATATATATATATATATATATATATATATATATATATATATATATATATACACACACACATATATTCACACTGTGCGTGTGTTTCAGATGTGCTGGGAGGTTACAATGGGACCATCTTTGCTTACGGTCAGACGGCATCAGGAAAGACTCACACCATGGAGGTCAGTCTGATATCGATATATATCAATATACTGTATATATATATATATATATATATATATATATATATATATAT